TCTCTGCACTCCAAACTTACGTTACCTTGAGAATCGTGCTAGAGGCCATACTGTTGGCGTTCCGAAGAGATCTTGAAGCCGTGCAGACAGCCCGCGCCGGAAAAGCACCATCATTCAAGGGCAGCAAATAGCGCTAAAGCACGTCCCACCTTCCAAGAATGGGGCACAACTTTTTATGCGACCTTATCAGTGTTCCGTGATCAGATTCAACAGGAAAGTTGTTTGCCGCTTCCTTCACTTCGGCAGCTGTTCGTGCTCGGCTTGTACGAATTCGTGCCACGGTGTCAAGGCCAGCATAAAGCTTCCAGAGTGCTTTCCGTGCCGCACCTGCGGCCCCGACCTGCAGCGGGGGCACGTAAAAAAAAAAAAATTGGCTTGCTCTTTATGTTTATACAGCCTTGATGGAGATGCGCCTCAACGGGTAATCGGTCTCTTAGCTGTAGATGAGAAATTTAGCCAGTGCGGTACAACCGCTAACCTGGGATTTTTAACGTGCATCACGCAGTAGTGATCACACGAACGCGTGCCGGTACGAAACTCATCCAGATCGAAACGGGCGGGGGCGGCGGGGATCGAACCCAGGAGGTTCCCAGCGCAAGATTTCGCTCCACGCTCCGAGCTGAGACGCGTTAGCCCACTCGGCCACTTCCTCCCTCGGGGGCACGTAGCTACAAAGGTATACTTAACTTATATACACTCCGTGCGACGCGACTGGCGCGCCGCCGCGCGGCCGGTAGCGAAGGTAGGCAGTGAGAACCCCGGAGAAAACGAAACCGAAACCACGCCGCGTACGTTGGTACGCATATTGAAGTCGGAGTGGTGCGGTTGCGCTGGGCTCACAGCATGAAGTGCTGCCTGTGCTGCGTCATTAAGTGCTTCAATAGTTATGCGTCGTGTCTCGTGGAGACAAAGTTTCACAGTTTTTCACCTCGCCGATGTTTTCTGGGACAGCGACAACGATGGAGCCGTGCCGTACGACGCGAGAAATTTGGTCTCCCGATCATGTCTGCCACTGTGTCATCACGGCTGACATATTCTACACTGCCGCTTTGCGCTCTGCGTTTGTTTTCGTACCAGTAACGCCTACATGTGTAAGCGCCGATACAACGAACTGAAATGCCATCCCACACTCGCGGTTATGAAATGCCAATTTCGTTGGAGGAATGCCCTCCAAAGAAGTTTCGCCCCCATCGTACGTGTCATTGATATTTCCGGACAAGTATGGCGTGCAATCTGTACTTCATGAAGAAAGATTCGAACGGTAAAAAAAGTGACAAATATAAATCTAAAGAAAACAACAATGAAACTCGGATTCACTGGAGAATCGACGATTGAGTATGGAAGTTTATATGTGGTGTGCTTTCTTTCTGGATCAGCCTCCTTTTGAATGTGAAAACACTGACACCCTGAGTTCTGTAGACAACAATATTTTTCTCGACTTTAGAGCCACCTATCGCAAAGTGGTTCGAACTGGAAGTACTGTCCACTGGTCCCTTCCTACCTGTAAAGTGTGCACCTCCCACGATTAGTCGTATTATCTTGACAGCCTTTGACGGTCAAAACTTGTTCCCATTTAGTTACGCCGCCCAAACTAAATTTCCACCTGGCTTCGCTATGCCAACTCTTTTTGTTATAATAATGTTGTGCCAATTGACGGTCATGTCAAAGTACCCGTGCGCCGAAAATCAGCACCTCGTACAACAGGTTATTACAAAACAGCTGACCGCAAAAGCCCTTGGCTGCCAAAGCGTGTGTTGGCCGACAGCTTTCCTTTCTCGGCTTTGGAAGCACCTTTCGTAAAGTTGTTTCAATTGGAAGTACAGTCCACCAGTCCCTTCCTACCTGTAAAGTCTCCACCTCCCACAGTCAGTGGTGTTCTCTTGACAGCCTTTTCATGGTCAAAACCGGTTCCCATTGAGTTACGCCGCCCAAACCAAATTTTCACCTGGTTTCCCTATGCCACCTTTTTCTTTTTGTATAATAAGTGCTGTGTCTTGTTACTGTCAAGTCCAAGCACCTGTCTGCCCAAATCTGCACTTTGCACAGCCCGCTATAACACAACATTTTGGGTCCAATATTGGATATCCCGTACAGCTTTATTTTTTTTTTTATTCGTTAGAAACATAACTTTCACACCTGCTGTCCTAAAGAAACTTGGCACTCATTGTGCGCAAACTTAGTGAACATCTCACTCGCCTCCAAATATCATCGTTCCAGCAGTCCTAGGTTTACAGCGACGAGCGAAACAAATTTCCCACTCAGAGCAATTATGGTGGCGGCCGTCTTGTTTTTCGGAAAATTGCTCCAACTCCTTTTTCGGCCGCAACTAGAGAAATTACCCCTAATAACGACTCAAACTCAATATATAAGAAGTGGAGAACAGCTAAATGCCCTTCTGCCCCAGCACTCATGCAACGTCACCCTCAACTTATCGGCTCAAAAAGCAAAAGTTTCGTCCGCGCGCGCTTCCGCCGCCACAGTTTGGCATGCGAAAAGGCGCCGCAGGCTGCTGAACGCGCCTCACAGTCGAACGCCAGCTCCTCCGCTAGCGGCGCTGCGCGCGTTTTTCAAAGCGCCCCCTATAGTTCCCGCACGGAGTAATAACAGACGAACTGGGAAACACATTTTATTACACGAAATTGCATGTTCCGCAATTTCTGCTTCCTACGTTAAAACAAAACCTAACAAAATGTGAATCGAAATCACACTTCCTGGGACTGGGAAACACATTTTATTACACGGAATTGCTCGTTCTGCAATTTCTGCTTCCTATGTTAAAACAAAACCTAACAAAATGTGAATCGAAATCACACTTCCTGGGACTGGGAAACACATTTTATTACACGGAATTGCTCGTTCCGCAATTCCTGCTTCCTATGTTAAAACAAAACCTAACAAAATGTGAATCGAAATCACACTTCCTGGGACTGGGAAACACATTTTATTACACGGAATTGCTCGTTCCGCAATTTCTGCTTCCTGCGTTAAAACAAAACCTAACAAAATGTGAATCGAAATCACACTTCCTGGGACTGGGAAGCACATTTTATTACACGGAATCGCTTGTACTGCAATTTCTACTTTTGTGACGTCACGGGTAGGACAGACCGGTACAGACCGGGCAGATCTTGGGATTCCTCGGCTCGTCAGCTCGCTCCATGCGTGGTTTGGGTAACGCGCGGCAAAGCCTGTTTCACGCGTTGTGTTTCTTTGCTAGAGTGATATTCGTAGTGGGACATTTCACCGAAGCTTGAAAGCGTGGCAGGCGTAGTCTTGCTTGGTCACAAACACTTTCGACGCCGAGGTGTCGAAGCGCTCGGATGGTGGTTGTGCTCTTCTCTACCCCAGTAGAAAAAAGCTGGATGATGAAAATAGAATATTCCGCTCTTTACCCCACTACAACGTCTACCACGGCGAATGGGGTGTAATTTTTATTGTGATTCGGACAAAATAAATTTGAGAAAGGAATTTCTCATTAAATTGAAAATAGGAAAGCAAAATTCGAGAAGCTCTCGCGTGTGTAGTTAAAACTTCAGTGAAAGCGACTCCGTGTATCATGTTGGTTACAATGTGTTGTGTGAGTGATGGTATCTTATTAGTTCCAAGTTGATTCCTTTTTTTAATTTTGTAAACCAGTAAACAAACATTTCTTCAAAATAACTGGCTGGAAAAAGCGGTGGCTGGCTTCCGGAGTCGTTTCAATTAAATCCCTGCTTATTCACCCGGTCGACGCGAAATGTAAAAAAGATCTTCTCGCGATCGACACTTAAGCGACCTAAAAAATGAGGTATACACCTACTATTAATTACTACCATATGCATGTTTAATCTTGCAGACCCAAATGCGCATAATGCGTGATGCGCTTCTCAGCGAACGATTTTTAATCTGCCAACAATTCTTAGTAAAAATTGGACAAAACAAATTAATCAGTCGTCTGAATTTGCCGGGCCATGTCCGAGAATCTAAGAATTTATGTAAATTTCTGGTTTTCTTTCGACCAGAAGTCGCGATGTGACCAACTTCTTTGCCACGTATTCGATTCGGGAGGAGTTATAAGCGTCAGTTGCTGACGAGCATTCGCTCGGCAAACAAAATGGCTAGGTGGCGTAAGCTACCGCCCGATCCAAAGGGCTCAGCCGTATTCATCCATCCATCCGTCGCCAATAACCACCTTATTTCTTGTGTATAGGTGCCGCAAAAACCTAACCAAATGTGCACTCACTCAGATATGCCCAGAGTTTCTCCTGAATCACATTTGCCGAATGCTGTTACTCAGCAGCGTCACAGACCGTTCTGCCTGGTTCGATCTCCCGCGCGTGCGTCCCCCGATCGCCCCATAGGGAGGCTGTAGTGAGGGTGGGCGCAACTCAAAACCTGGAGAGCGTTTGCAATTTAATGGCGGCGCCTGAGGGAGAGGATTCGAGAAAGGATATGTGCCAGTGTTGCCTGCACGAGAGCAGGCGCCCGCTCTGTTGCAGCTCTGTTGCTCCATGCGCCTTTCCTCCTCTCGCCTCCCATTGCAAGCAACGAGCGCCTTGGCGCAGCCTCTCTCGCTTCCTTCTCGCTCCGAGAATTGCAAACGTCGAGCGGAGAAAGCAAAGTTGCCAGACAAGCAGCAACGTCCAAGATGGCGGAATTTACCATTTTTCGCGTTAAAAAAATACTTAACCTATCGCAACAAAACTGGTGGCTATGGAAAAGTAATCATTTATACCTTGTGTAAATTATTCAAGCACCTTAATGGGCTGTTATGACCCGAGTTAGGAAAGAAAACGACCCTTTGCCCCATAGACTCCCAGCAAAATTTAGCAATTAAATGGCGTCCATGTCCCGTGATCGCCGATCTAGCAGTTGCACCCACCCTCACTTGAGCCTCCCTATCGCCCCATTGTTCGCTTGGCGCCATCTGTGAAGAGAACGATACACGACAACGACCGTCGCGAAAACAGCTGCCAACCTAACGCAAGCTTGGTCACAAGTTGCAACACTCTCTACCAGCGCCTCTAGAACGTTTGTAGGCATAAGCTCGTAATTCTTTTTTCTTTTTTTAATAGTCGGAATTCAGCGTCCCTAAATGACGGCGTGAACACCCATGTGATGCTTCGTGCTTTCGCGTCGCCATGCTTGCCAGGCAAGTTTGCTCTGAAGAACAGCTTCGCCACACACGCAGTGAAGATGCGGTGAAGCACACTTCGGTAAGTTTAACGCACCGCAAAAACCAAAAGGAGTCACGGCGGCGCAGACCCTGTTTGGACAAAGGGCTAACTTCAGAATCACCATCAAGGTGTTTAATATCCCAAATCCTAATTTACAGCCTCGCAGGAAACCCTCACGCTGGAGATTTGACCGCGTGAAGAGCGTAAGTGAGGTCGGTACTCTTCAGCCAGCTCCAGGTCTGAGTCAGGGGGTTGAAGAAGGTGCCGTGGATCAGCCGGACGTGACAGCCATCTGCAAAAATGGATAAAAATATTCACAGCCATTTCTATTTACCCGCCACGTGCCACCGCCGCGATTTCAGCAGCGTCGAGACCAGGGTGTAAGATAGACAGGTGGGGAAACGAGAGCCAAATGAGCGACCGGATTGTGTCCCCCTCGGTTTTCTCTTTTTCTGTGGCGCCATCTATGTGGAGCACCGCGAACTCTCTCTCCGGGTGGGCGACCGGTGGCGACCGGTTAAACTGACAGAGATGGCTTCTCGTGGATTTTCAATAGAGAACTGTCGTGCTCTCGGTTTATTTTGCGCACTCTCCTATAGAATTCCATGCAAATCCGATTCCAATTTTTTTCCTCTCGCCGCAGCGCCATCTGTCGCAAATCGAGGGTACCCGCAAGCAGACGAGTACACAATCCGGTCACGGCGCTGCGGTAGGCTTCTATGGGCCGTTTCCCCACCTGTCTATCTTACACCCTGGTCGAGACCAACGTCGAGACAAAGCACAGCATCTATTCACATTTTCTGCACTGGATGCCAGATGGGTGGATGGATGCATAGGGTTGAACACTTAATGGGGCGGCAGCTTGCGCCACCTAGTCTGTGTTTTGTAGTTGCCACTTCTCACATTTTCGGCGCGGAAGGGCCGTCGTGTTTAAAAGGTATGTTTAAACTCTATAATGGTGCCTGGAGCACGACTACAACTGGTCTGTTTAGCGTCCCGTACTCCCCATGCATCAAAGTGCCCCTTTTTCACACACAGCGTACCAGTAGCGTAGCTAGGCCATCTGGCACCCGGGGCTCTTAGGTCTTTCGTAGCGCCCCCCCCCCCCCCTCCCTCACACTCCAAGATCGCAACCAGTAAAGCGGGGGGGGGGGGGGGGGGGGAGTGCCGGGTTCCCCCCAGAGGTGCCCCCCCCCCCCCCCCCTCGTGACTGGGGCGCCAGGTACCTGGAACCCAGCGCCCCCCAGCCCTCCCCGTTACTATGCCACTGCAGCATGCTACACAAGCTTTGGCGCGAGCGTGCGACTTCGTCAGCGTTTCAAGTGACGTGCTAGATAAAGTCATCGACTCGTGCCAATAACTCTGACTTCCTCAGTGCGCCATTATTTGGCAGGCTCTTTGCATGAATATGACAGGTGCAAGTCTGTATTTGCTGGAACCACTACCATAAAGTTCCGAACGAACGCCCACTCAAAATGAAGAGATAAATGATGAAAAAAATGGGGTGGGCTATCTTTGGGGAGGGAGGCAGTCACTTGATCGAATGACGTTTGAGCGAACGCCCACGTTTCACCGAATGACACTTTAGCGAATAGTTGGACCCCGCGAAGCGGCGTTCTCGGGTGGGCCATGTCGGTTCACAATTTTGTAATGAGCCACCGCACACTGTCGCCGCGAAGCGGCGTAATGCCCGTGTTCCTCTTGAGCGACAGACAGAAACAAAAGACAGCGACAAGCCTCAAACCCATGCAGCAAGCTCGCGATGGTACCTTGTTCGGTGCTCGTAAAGTAAGCACGAGTAATTGCAAGTCTGCCAAACATACCCTCGCGTGCATGATGCTCGTATTTGAGCATAGCCTCCTTTATTCTAAAAAGCCTCTCATATCGCAAAAGACTGGTTGGAGGCAATTGTCCCTGTTTTTTGTTTCTGTCTGTCGCTCTAGTGGGACACGGGCATAAGCCCAGCGCGGCGGGTGGGTTAACGTGCGCCCCCGTTATCCGCTAAAACGTCGATTCGCTCAAATGTCGCTGTTCGCTAAAACGTCAATCGCTCATGTGATATGGACCCCGGACACCGCAAATTCGTGTTTCCCGATGCGATAAACACGCGGGAATTCGCTATGAACACCTGTGTCACGGGAAAGGCTACCGCATGCAGGTTGCGTACGCATGCAGCAGATTCGCGTTTCACGGTGCGAAGGACCCGCGGAAATCCGCCGAGAACTCGCATCTCACGAGAATGAATAACGCAAATCGCGGACGCAGCAGATGCAAGTTTTATGGCGCAATAAACTCGCGGGAACCCGCTACAAGCTTGCAACCGATATCGCGCGCGCAGATCGCGGACAAAAAGGCAGGAATCCGCTATGAACTCGCGTATCAGACGTGCCGGTACAGCAAATTACGCGGTTGATGCGGTCCCCGTCGGACATTGCGTGACGTACGACGAAAATCAGAAGGTGGGCGATGTTCCGGAATTTTTATGTTACAGATATTTAGCCAGAAAAACGGGATGGGCGATCTCTCGGGGGCGGGCGCTCTCTTGGAACTTTGCTAGACCAGTCAGAGCGGCTGCAATTCAGGATTCATCACATTTTAGAGACGCTTTGACTGAGCGACAGCGCCCTCCCCCCCGTTATCGTTGGAGAGTGTGAATAGAGAGTTTTAGTAGATCATTCCGATACCTCCGATAACGATATGATGCATGTGCAAAGGCGTCGGCAAAGTGTCGAGTGTCGTTATCGGAGACATCAAAACGATCTACAAAAAAAAAACAACTATTAACTTCATGCCACGAAACCAAGTTAAAGTGAATGCTACATACTTGTCTCGAGCGCCTCTTCAAGCTGCTCCGGCGGCAGGAACATGTTCCAGTCATGAAGACCAGGGGGAACAAGCCGAAAGATGTATTCAGCTGCAATCTTGGCGATCAGAAACGACTGAACCGTGCGATTGATAGTCGTGAAGAAGAGCGAGCCGCCGTCCTGTGGAGGTGATGCAAATTACACATAGTCCATTTGGAATCCCCTCTGGTTGCCCATGTTCACACAGAGCTGTAAGAGTCACTCTTAAGAAGTAAAGAAGCTACCATTACATTCACTTGAACTGATGTGTTAATTGTACATGCTACAAATGTATCTTATTTAGAGCATCGGCCACTCACAAAAAGCAATCCAGTCACACTCTATTTATTTTTAAAATATTGCACAATGTACAAGCGTGCTGCAGATGCTTACCAACAGCTCGGAAAAGACACTGACACAGTTCCCAATTTCAGTCGGCACTGCACTCTCAACAAAGTTGGAGGCAATTGAGACTATATCAGCACAATTTTGGACTTTTGTCAACGGAGCTATAAATCACTCCCAAATTGGAACTTTGTTTTATTTACAGTTACTGAAATTTTGTAATAACATGGGCAACAGTTACCAAAATTGTAACCAATCATGATTTCGGTCATTGAATACACTACTCAAACAAAAAGACACCTGCGTTTGTTTCCCCCAGACATTACGTATGTGTTTGTTGACGTGCTGTGAAAAGTTCATTGAAGCACTTTTTCAGAATGTGAAGACCTCGGTTCTCACCTCTGTCAGAGTCACGCAGGACTTCACAAAATCTCTGTAGTTCTGGACGTGCTCGACGACTTCGCTAGCCACCACGGCATCAAACTTGACGGAACGCTGAACGAGCTCTTCTATTTCGACGCCCTCGTAGACGATGGAGTCTCGAACTTGGGGGTCCCTCTCTGCATGAGCTCTAGCAACCTCAATACTTCCCGGCGTGGGATCGATACCAGTGACCGTGGCACCTAGCCTCGCAAGAGGCTGCAAAGAAATATGAAATTTTTTTTAAAACCTCACGTTACTAAAAAACTGACACAATATTTATATATTGTCCATATCATGAAATATAATTTGCTATGACCATCCAAAACATTGGAAATGGGAAAATTCAACACATAGTCACGGGGAGTGACGAAAACCCTAATTTTTGGGATTTCCAATATCACACTTCTCTGAGCTGGTTTGACTTTTTTCTATCTTCTCTTCAACAAATATGTACCCAACTCTGCAGCAAAAAAGAAATTGGGCGGTGTCTCGGCACCATACTCTGGCACAAAGGTTCTCAAATGAAAAGTCAGTCATAGGCGTAGACTTCGGGGCATTGGTGCTCGTGCCCCCCCTGGTGAGATCCGGGGGAAGCTCTGCCCCCCCCCCCCCCCCCCCCCCCGAGCCATGATCCTTACCGAGACGCTGTTTACGTGCCATGTAAACAAAATAACGCTCACGTTGCCTTTATTGACAAAATACATGAGAAATAGAATCCCAGCCTGCTTTCGTTAGCTTCAATCTCCAGTTCTGGCGAAAAGGTAATGCACAGCACCCCCCCCCCTCCTCCTTTTCGACAAAACTATACAAAACCGAGAAAATGGAAAGTCTACGCTGCTGAAGTCCGTGGACCCTTTTGAATCTGCAAAGCCCTTGCTCATTGGTGGAACCAAAGAATAAAGCTTGTTTTCTCTCATACCCAAAAAAAATAACACTTTTGTGCAATTTTTTTTTTTTTTTTTCATAGTCCATAACATTTATTGCACCAAGGAACATTGTATATTAGGTCGAACCCTGTTTTTGCACCGAGGCACATTGTATTAGGTGGAACCTTTTTCTTCACAGAGGTACATAGTATATTGGGTGGAACTTTGGTTTGCGAGTGCCAATCATGAGAAAAGGGAAGCTGATGGATGCATTTAAGGAAGACCTAAAGCATGTGTGAAGCGTGAATGATATGCTTATTATCCACCTTTTTTCATCGCCAGCCTTGAGCCTGTAATGTACTACCTTGAGAGTATTCTAAATATATAAATAAATGTCAAAGCCTGATAGCTTTGTGCACCGACCTCAGACAGTAACCCGCCTCCGCATCCAACGTCAAGAATCCTTAGACCCGCCAGCGGCTTTGCGAGGGATTTTGGCACCTTCTCTCCCGGCTGCCTGGTCTGGAGCAGCCCGTCCCTGATCAAAGGGACTCGTAGCGTGTTCATCCGTGAAAGGGTGGAGAATTCCCCCTCGGGATCCCACCACCGATGGGCCAGAGCATCGAACTTGCTGCGGTTCTCTTCAAACACCGTCGACTGGGAGGAGTTGGCTGTTGGGGTGGTCATAGACAAGTGCCTAGAATGAGAAAGTGAGAGCAGTACGCAAGGCTGGAGTTGTCTCACAGCTGGTCTCTTCATTTCGATGGAACTCTAGAAAAGTAGCGAGCTCTTGGTCACACTTTCCAGCAGTGTAATTGTCACCTTATGAATTTCGAGCAAACTATAATCCAGAGGGCCATCATGACAGACTTTTGGGCACAACAAACTCATCGTCCGCCTTTTTTTTTTTACCGGAATGTGGAAAGATATGCCATGAATTTGTCACGTGAGGATCTGTAAGACACCGTGTTTGTAAGCAGCAAACACAGTGTATGAAACCCTGCTGCACCTTTAAACAAAAAGTATCTCTTTTCTTTGGATGCAAGATTATTGTGCCCGATGTCACAACCTGAATTAGTTAGAAGCACTTGCACACTTAGAACAGCCACTTTCCATGATTCATTGCCTGACAGCTTTCTACCTACAGAGATGGTAGATGAAATGGGTGCTTTGGCTGAGAGACAGTGCCCCCTGTAGTCACAAATTTCTGAAGATACAAACGAAGTACATAGACTTGTGTACAGCTGAGTAAAATATATGCTATCAGTAGACATGAAAATCCTCGCATTGACCTCGACATCGTGTTTTGGACTACAAGACAAAACTATTTTAACAAGGTCCAAGGATGTGAAATGAAGAGGTTGACCCATTGAACAGTGTTCGTGGAATGCATAGACCAACACTCATCTCAAACTATGGTTTTTAATAATTCCCAGACTTCCCAATATCTACTCTCAAACTTCATTAAATTTAGGGAGAAAAAAAAATAAGGGGAGGGTGGGCGGGGGGGGGGGTGCTTATGATGCGAATTTTATCAGCACATAGGCACGGCTGAGCGGCTATATGAGTTGGCCCAGCTGAGTAGTGCTAGCCGAAAGGGGTAAAATGTTGTGCCAGTGGTGGATTCAGAGGGGGGTTCCGGATGCTCTGACCCCCCTCCCAAATTCTGCACGTGTAAAAATTTAGGGCATGGAAATGGGGTGAGGGTTCTTAAACATACACTATGCTGACCAACATTTGAGCCCCTCTGGAAATACCTGCATCTGCCCCTGGTGCCTCCGGTACGCTAACCCATAAAAATGACTGTCACACTGCGTCAAGAGAAAACATGGAAGCCCATTTCAACCACCCTTTTAAAAGCTTAACATACCCAGGGCTCTCCGCATAATCTTTGTACTGCTCCGGCCTGAACGCTGCAGATCCATCTCATTTTACCATGTACCTTTCAAGAAGGCTCAACGTCCACTTTTAAAACATTCTTTTGTGGCTCTGGGGTGCACACAAGGATGTGCATCACCATAGTTCATTTACTTTAGGTGTGGGTGAACTCCTGGCTTCCAGCATCCCTGCTGAACATGCACACCTGTGCAGTGCAAGCATTGTTTGGGGCAGCAACATGCTCGTGCTTGTGTGCTCCGTTTCACCTTACGATGGACTGGAGCGGACGTCAAGTCGGCACCCATCCCATTCGCCTCGAGATTCGATCGGCACGGCTCACGTGGTGAAGAGCAGAACTAGGCTTTGTTTTATGCTTATACTTATTGGAGCGAAACAAATGCTACGGACCAGATGCCGAAGCCACGAGAGGCACCAATGCAGCCCTCGGGGACTGGAATCAACTGCTAAGAGCTCATGCTCTGTGCCATTAGTGTGTATGGTTTGTCTCCTCTCGCATTACGGACAGAGGAAATCACCACGTGCCTCATAGTGAAGAATGGGTAAACAAGAGCACGCTTCCCTTAAATTCAATCTGGGTCTAGAGGCAAATAGTTGATAACGGGTCAAGAACTAAGTATAAACTCCTCCCACCTTTTCACACTTTAGCAGAGTAAATGCTGGAGAGGAGGCGACCTACTCTCCAGCGTTCACTCTGCTGAAGTTGAAAGAGGTGGGAGGAGCTTCCACTTTGTTCTTGACCTAAACGTATCACGTGACCGCGAAGGTCACGTGACGCTCGCACGGCTTTGGATTGGCTTCGATGACTCTGTCCGTAGACGACCCTTTTGAACACTTGAAGAATATGATGTGTGTGGTGTCCAGAGGGCACTACGAGCGCGGGGACGGTAGCCGGGCAAAAGAAAACCTGGTGCGTATGGGACTTCAGAGTGGTACTCGGCACGAGCGGTGCTGGAGGGTTGCAGTTGAATAAAGGTCTTCAAAAACGCAACAATGTGCACTCCAAGCTTCAGGTACCTTGATAATCGGACGGGAGACCATGCTGACGTTCCGACCAGCGCTTGAAACCGAGCAGACAGCGCGCGCTGAAGAAACTTCATCGTCCAAGCTTAGCAGACGGCACTGAAGGACTCTCGAATATTTTGGACAACTTCCTAGTTTAACTAGCGGCCATAGCGTTTAAAGCTATGGTTTAAAGAGAGTTTCTGCCGCGCTTTTCACTCGATACTGATTTTTGTTCGTGTATTCCTTAATCAAGAATAGCACTAAACTTATTTTGACTTTCACTACACCCACTTCAGCACCCACATCGGAGAGTTCGCTGTTCGTTTTTTGTTTTGTTTGAACAGATTTGTTCAATGCGCATTATTTGTGGGCCTGCGCCATTTGCTAGGTAGCGGTAGTGACGTATCTTTATTTTATTTCTTAAATTTAAAAATTTGGGATATTCAACAATTTTAAGTAGCATTAAATAAATAAATCTGCTTAAAATTAAGTTGCATTAATTATTCAAATTTATTGTTTTACTAAGAGGGTCTGTCAATTGGGTCAATTGAGACATTTAGACAACCGTTTTGGTTAAAAAGACAGGTCTTGTCGCAACTTGTGGGACTGGCAGCGAAGGAAGCACATGATTTTCTGCGGTTGTATACAAATGGGAGTTGTTTTTCTGTGATATACATTAGTTAGCTACTCTATAATTAACGGCCGATATTTTGAAGAGGTATGTATGTGCACGTTATTCTACCGTTGTGTCGTGCATTCATAGTACAGGCTGTACGTTTGTGTAGTGGCTTCTGTACGTGTAAACAACATCGGTTTGTCGTGTTTCGATATCCACGTTATATTTTTCGCTTGAAGTATTTTTACTTATGCTTCTGCACTTACGTTTCGCCCTAATCATCGCCTCTTGGATGTGGGCGCTTGAGAAAAATAAAAGTTTTGATACGGTAAAATTAGATCACGCGAAAACTTCGATCTACCGATACGATCTGCCTCCAAATGGTGTCGGTACTTATTGGCCGACCTGAACGAACTCGGAGCTAGGGCCACGGTGGCTTGGGCATTGGAAAAGGACAGGTAACTCCTTATTTTTCAACAACGAAAGTGGTTGCCTCAAACAAGAACGCCAAAACCGAGCTGCGTTATGGAAGTAGTCTGAATCATGCCTTGTTGCGCCATATACAGAAAGCGTTTCTTTTCTTCTTTCCCGTTTTTTTTTTCTTTATTGCAGTTAGCTGTCACATTTTTAAATGTATTACATTATTTTAGAGAATTTCGTTACTGTGCACAGTTAAAGAAAGTTCTTGCGCTTAAGTGACTAATAATGACTATGTTCAGTGAACAACACTTGCCTTGTTTGTGTAGTACAACAATTGCCATTCGGGAAGGTGCCAGCAGTTGTACGATCCGACGAAAGGCCGTTGAAACGAAAACCCTGTACAACATTTTAATCTGGAAGTGATATACACTTTCTTTTCTCGTGGTATCACCACCCGGGAATATCTTGGAAAGATTTGTGTTGTGTAAGAGTGACCTTATTTCCGGACGTGTGACACATCCGGAAATAAAGTCACTTGTACAGCCTCCATCGTTTAGCTGAAATATTCATGCATCTGCACACTTTCCTACTCAAAAGCAAAATTATTTTCATGTCCAAGCGTTGTACTAGAAGGAAGTCTGTTCACTTGAAACATTCAAGATTAGATCATATTGTTTTGCCTGCAGAGTTCTAAACATCATTGTATTTGGGTGAACTGCCCTCTAAGTGTCCTTTTCATAAGCAGAAGCTGATACCTGTTTTGTGCTCTATGAATGGGAAGTGTTTATTCGCAGCGCTGGTTAGCCAGAGTGAACAAATCATCTCATGGTCCCTTTTATTCACTCCCAGATGGCCGAGGACAGAGAAGTGCTGCGTGAGGTCTGGGACGGAAAGCTCCCCATTTGTTTCAGGCTAGCGGAAGAGGAAGTCAGCACAATGCAGCAGCCTGATCCATACTACGTAAGTGTCGGTGACCCCATCGCCATTCATCCACAGATACATTTCTGCGGCGTTTGATTTTGGAGAAACCAAAACAGTATAAATTATTCTGCATAGGCCACACATAGTTGCACAGAAGCTGCGCAGAATAGGTTTTACAGAGTTCTACAATATGTATAGGATTCCTTGTTTTCCTATAAATCCGAAAAACAGCCGCCAGTGAAATTTTGGTTTATTCGGATTTATCTGGTAAACTTTGAATTTTGATGTGCCAATGCCCCTCCCCAAAAGAAAATAAGAGACGGCATTTGTCAGTTAAGTTTTATCAGTGCAGGTCAATGGTTGTGGGAAAATGCTACCACAGTTATCTTTCAAATCTCGGACCATTGACAAATGGAATCTTACCGTTTATCTCGTCAAGGTTCATTCAGGACAACAGGTCATTGTACTTTCGGGTCACGACAAAAGCCATTGTTTTGGTTTCCAGTTTGCGTCATACTATTTATGCTTTAGAAGAAGGAGAGGTTGTGTTTTTGTAAGATTGAAAGCTATAAACCATAGAACCAAGATGGGGAAGAGGGGCAGTTGGAAGTTCTCCATTACACCCTTGATTACTCCACCTTGTGCGGCCGCGGGTAGGTTGATGGAAGAGGATGGGATGAATGCGAGCTTCCCAGTAACTACTTCTAGGAGTTTATTGCTTTTTAAAATATTGACTTTTATTGAAGCAACAGCCGCATGCAACAAATTAGTGTTGGCAATGGCACCAGTGCCGAATCTAGCTGAAGAAATATTATTTGATACAAGCACGCACATTTTATTTTTTTTATCTTGCATATGTTTGCACCCAGATATTATTTATTTATTTATTTTTAATAGGAAACACTGTGAAGTTAATCTCTGAATCTCTGAGAATTGGGAATCAAACAAAAACAAACTCCGATAAACCCGGCTGCAAAAAATAAACACCGAAAAACACCTTCCGAATATAACTGCTATATAACACAGTTTGAATGCGCACAATATGGGCCATGTTTTGTGTTTTACTCATGGTGTGTAGTGACAAACACCAAATTTAACCACCAAAGTTGGGGCTCCAGAGGAGCACATCCCACCACATCATTAGTTTTGGTAAAAGCTTTTTCAGATGTGATAGGAAAAATGGTAAGGAAAGACAATCTTTGGGCCTGTCAAGGTAAAGTCTTACGGGAGCTAGGTGCCTTTGATACGCAACTGCAAATCGATCGTTTGATTCCAATCTCGTTTGCTTTCTGTTGCAGCTGATGATCTCCCGGATTAGCTATTTCCCTCTGGTGGTTGACAAGGTCCACAAACATTTCTCAAGACATGTGGACGAGCGACACCATGGCAACGAGATGTGGGTCGAGTACAACGGTCAGCCGCTCAAATGGTGTGTAGTTCTTTGATCGACAGTGCAGACCAAGTATGGCAGCGCCCCGAACTGACTGCATGAATGAATTTGTTGAATTAGTGTGCCCCTCACTACAGTTGGCAGGAATGGCATTCCTTGCACATTTAAAGAGTTGAAAAATCTAGTGCAGCCCAAGACCGACACAAAATCGACCACGCTTCAAACTGATTAATTTGTGAAATTAGTGCACCACTTGGGTGTAGTGGGCTGGCATGGCGTTTCTAGTACGTCGATACCCCAGCTTTTGTCAGTCTCTGGCATAAATTAGCAGGGACTTAGGGCATGTTTGCAATCAGTCATGAATTAAATTAAATTTTTTAAGTTCATGTCTTCTTTAATTGCTTGTTTAAATTGAAGCAAAACAGTCACACATAGCTCACATTAAGGGGGGACATAAACCTAAATTTCAAATTTTTCTAAAAAAAAAAAATCAGTTTTCAATTTTGAGTTTTTCGGTTTTAGAAACTAATTATACACCCTTACACCAAATTTGATAACCATACACCAAATAGTTACATTAATATAAATATTTTTCAACACATTGTGGAGCAGTAACAAAGTAAAGGGGTTCAATCTTTGAATGCATTTTTCTCAGTTCCAGTTTTCGCTGCAAATTTCATACGAAGGAATCTTTTGTTTGAAGGTAAAAGTATTCTGATACCACAATCAACATGTTTCTGAACTGAAATTTACGGGGGAATCGGGCTATCTAATTTATTTTGTTTTAAGTTGAAGTCCTCATTGAGAAAACTCTATGTTTGCAAAAATTGACATGGGACAGCTATGCATCTCATATTCTGAGGTATTGACTCTTCCTGAAATATTTACATTTGAGTAATAAAAACTAGATAGCCCAAAGTCCCACATCCCCCACTTTATATTCGAGCAGTCAAAAAGATGCTCGATAGGTTCAATTGCATATCATAGATTCCTTAACAAAGAATGGCACATCTTCTTATGCAGGCACGTAAAATTATCCTAGAGAGCTGAAAGTTTGCACAATACACGTACACCTTATGTTAAATCTCCCCTGTAAATTTCATTCCGACCACTTAAGTAGTTCAGAAGTTAAATCTCTAGCCAGTGTCCCCCCTTAATAGTCAACAGCTCAACCAGCGCTAGGTATTTCAATAGTTAATTTTAAAATGTAGCATTGTTCTTTGACCACTTCACACGAGGCTGTAAGAACCAATCGCTGCCAGAAATAAGGGAACATATCTCTTAAGCACTAGCTGAGCTTTGACACCCAGAGGGAGAAAAGTGTTGGGATGGGAGATAAAATGGAGGCTGTGAAGTTATGGAAGCGATATTATCCTTTTTGAACTTGTGACCAGACATCAAAACTGCCCAATTTTCCTTTTTCTTCCAGCTCTATCGCGGCACCAGTGACTCTTTAACCAGCTGCATACCTTGTTACACAGTTCCCCCTTCCGTTATGAACTACAAGTCTCTCTCTTTTTTCTCGTAGGCACCTACCGATTGGGCTATTGCATGACTATTATGCGAGCGACTCTACATTACCATGGAACATCACTGTACATTTCCAGGTAATGTGGTGTTATTTATATTCTTTGAGGTCTATGTGTTTTTCTGTTTCAACTAGAGTCACAGTTGATGACATGCCTAGTTCGAGGAATGCCGTTAGGATCCACGCGTTGCTTTCCAAATTCTTGTGCAGTTGAAGTATTTTTTTACGAAAGCCAGGGCGGCTGAATCTGACGACTAGTGTCGCGTTGTGGCATCTTTTTCTGCAAACTGTGGAGTCATAGTGTCATTGCGTCGGCAGAGGTCCCCATAAAGAGTGTCTTCACCCGAAAAAAAGGGTGCTGGATGTTTGGCCAGGCGTTCTATATATATACTCATTCAGGGAGCACCTACCAATTAAATAATTAGGCTAGCCCTTTTCCTGCACTAAATATCCTTAGTTTGGCACTGATAACAGAGAATTTGACCTGCGCAAAGCTAAGATTGTTCAAGGGCGAGCTCCCGCAATTTATTGCCGAATTAGCTCAAATACCTCATCAAGTGATCAAACAATCATTTCGATTACCATGACATTTATAAGTGCAGCACAGTCGGTCTGTAGCATGCAGCTAACGTAGACTATATTGCGTAACAACACCAGTCATTCAATAACGTTCTGGGGCTGTAACGGGGGTGCCATTGCCTGGGGGAAAGTAGGAGGAACCAACTAATACAGCTCGGAGAACCTTTTTCTGAGCACGATCCTATAAATGGTGAACTTGGATCTGCCATCTTGGGATGGCAGATCACCACTGACTGATCTTGAGAAAGAGCTGATGATATACACTTCAGCATTGTCAGGGAATTCTGAATGCCCCAAGACCTCTTAATCTGTCCTTATTCATGAAGTGTCTAGGCTGCTATGCAACTCTTCTGTTTATTTTTTATTTATTTTTAGTAAGTGCTAGACTGGGAGGCAGGGCCAACAGGAAATGTGGCTTGAGTTGTTCCCCCACCCCTATACAGTTCAGACAGCGCACAGAAACATAATGTTTGCATAAATATCTGCAAAACTAAAGTGGAAAAAAAATAAAAAAAAAAAAGCTCACTGAACAAACAGGTGTACTCCGTCTCACCTTATGTCCGGCTGCACAGATGCTAATAGCCATCGGAGCCATCTCAAGGACGTGCGAGTTTTCCGTGACCTCCGAGAAAAACCGCCGTGACGCGTGGAAAGCGTAGTCACGTGCTACGTTCACAGAGCTGCATTGGCTGGGGTTGCTCGAAGCGGTCGCTGCGGCCAGACGTAAGGGGAAACGGAGTACAGCATCACATTTAAGAAAGGAACTGGAGAGCAGCTAAACGCTGCCTCCTCGCCGTAAAGGACCTCGTGGAACGTGGTGGGCCGACCAAAGTGGCAAAAGGCTAAATATCGCGGGAAAAAATGTTAGTGTTGCGCTTGTGCACCCCGACTTTACACCGCTTCCAAAGCCCAGAGCGTGGCGACCACGGCTTGCGCAGAACTTCCCGGAAGGGCAGCTGCTGCACTGCGGCAGCCGGGCGGTGGTGGAGGCGCACTTCATGTCGACGGTGAAGGAGGCGGACATGCTGAAGCACCGGAGCCAGGTAATGAGCAGCATGCAGAAGAAGGACCACAACCAGCTCTGGTCGGGGCTCCTCAACTCCAAGTTCGACCAGTTCTGGGCCGTCAACCGCAAGCTCATGGAGCGCACGGGTGGCGAGGGCTTCAAGCACATCCCCTTCCGGCTCTACCTGGTGAGGGCCCCGCTCTCCGGGGGCACGCGTTCGAGCCGGGGTGCCTGGAATGCCTCTCCGGCCGGTCCATTTATTGCGTCCTAAAGAGAGGTTCCTCGATTTCTGCCCGATGACGGCGCAAAAGTGTCGCCGGCCGCGGTCCTGGTGGTGTCGCAGCGGCGATGGTGGGTGTGGCAGACGCCTGTGCGGCTGCAGGTTGCTCTCCAGCTCGACGGTCCACGGAAGTTTCTGCGGTCAGGAGTTGGGACTTCGCAACGACAGCGACGCTCGTGTTCGCTCCTACCTTTCTGAGAGACTTTTAGCGCCAACGCGACACTTCGGCTTCTGCGGTGCCATTTCTTGCCATTTCAGGACCATTTTTGATGTATGGGCAGGATAGGACGATGAACACAACACCAGTTGAAAACGCATCGGAAGCAAAGTAAAAAAAAGAAAGTCACAATTTTTTTAAAATATTGGGTACATCTGATTTATTTGATTTAAATCGGATTTCTTCGATTTATATCGGGTTAACTTGAAATCATTGCAGCTGAAAAATATTGATACTTAATCACCGGATGTATTTTAAATGTGGCATATTGATGGATCAATCTCCATACGATGACTGAAAGCAATGCGAAAGAAAGAATTACAGTAAATTTAAAGAACAGTTTAACTAACAACTTTTTATTGAGTGAACCACGTTATAGTAAAATAAAAACAGCTGGACTTTTCTTTTTTAATGAAAAAGCTCTATTTGCTGTTCCTTTTGCGTTTTTAACTTCTGCAATAGTGCATTTCTTTTTTAGTTCAAGTCTCTTGCGGATTATTCTTTACTTGTAATAGGACGTTAAGCAAAAGGTGAATGAAGTGGATGGTAGAAAGAAAGCTCAATGTTTCAGTTTCCTTGGAAGACCACTGCTTTTTTCTAGTGTTTGTCCTGATATAGGTCTTTCTCGCTTCTCGGCTATTTTATATAAATACAAAATAGATGCTCATAAAAAGCATCAAATGATAGACAAATGGTAAATTTTTAATTATTTTTGCTGGAAATGTTTGATTTAAATCGTCATAGTAAAACTGGTCCGATTTAAATTATGGTTTAAAAAATCGTGTTGATTTTTGTTCTTTACGCCGGTTTCAGACACTTTAGTTCAAACCTTGCTTCTGTCGGCTGCAGTTTAGAGAATATAATATTGAAAAACTCGCATGAAGGAAACTGTTGTTCAGTCGAGACCGCTAGCAGTAAGGTAAAGACATCGTTATGCAACAGTGTACTATTTTGTAAGAGCGTACTGTCATATAGTCAAACCCGATCATATTGAACCCGGTTAATTCGAGCTATCCCGTGTGAACAGAATAGTAGCTGCAATGAAAATGTATGGCGAAAAAGGCGGCTGCATCGAACGAAAATTGCTGCATCTCCCAATAGATTAAACTGCCAAGAGCTCCGTTTTGCTCTGCAAGCTGGCTTTCCTCCAACGAGAGCGGCCGCATTGGGAGAAAGCCAGCTTGCAGAGCAAGCTGGCTTTTTGTAGCGTGAGCTACACTGGCTGAGGTAGAGCAGTTTCGCGTGACTCGCATAATGAGCCGTGCTGCGCATCCGCAAAAAGCAGTGACGTCGCACGGCGCACAGCTGGCGTGCCGGAGCCGCCCCCACCTTGCCGGTCTGCGCATTCCAGAGTGACGTCATAGCCATGGCAGACGCACTGGCGCCGCCGCCGCATGCCCAGCTGTGCGCCTCCGTTGCACAGTAGCCAAGTCTGACGCTGCACCGGAGCCGCTTGATAGTGCCTCTCATTTTGTGCGCATGAGCTCACGCTACGTATATCCTGGCATAGCAGTGCTAAGCCACCGCAATTTTTTTCTTTTGGGTGGACACGTCAACTCAACTGCCTGGAAGAAGAAAAAAAATTATCTTTTGCAGAGTAACAGCACAGTTACGTAAATGTGTACAAACATGGTACCATCGTTTAAAAGCACACCATTATGTAGTCGCTAGTCCATTGGTGTGCCAATCTGCATTGTCAACTAATGGTGCACCACTGTCTGACAGAGCATTGAAGGGCTTTGGAAGCAAAAATAATTCTTCATTCCTTCACTCGCATATTTATTATTGTTTTGCGCAATATTAACCTTTCTTCGCGTCGCCCATCGAATTTTATGCCATGCATGGGCACTTGCATTGTACTGGAGACTGAGCGATTGAGCACCTTAATACATGTTATCACGCAGCAGTCCTGTGGCAACTTTTGAAAACAAGTCTAGAATGTTCTGGTACGACCGATCCATGTGTGCGTCGACGTTGCATGGCTTGGATTTTGTTTCAGATAAACACAGTGTCCTTCCATGTCAATGTTTTCTCCCGCAGTCGGACTGCACATTGCTCCAGAGGCTAATCACTCCCATGACGGCATCAGGGGAGAAGGCTACGCTGGAGACTCTACTACAGCAGGTTGCACCTCATGTCCTCACTGGTGGTAAGCCCATTCATTCACGCTTTGCTGTCAGTTTTACGTTAACAGACGGCTCTGCTCTAAATGCCGCGAATCTGACTCGACATTTTTCTAAATTTCCTTGCGTTCTATGGGCAGACACGCTACGGGAGCTCGTGCCCGTGGCTTTGTAGACTACGGAATAGAGTGGGAGGTGAATTGGGGGCCCAATAGTGTCGAAATGTTTTAGTTATCTCTGCTCTTATTTTACTCGTTTTCCGCGTCTTTTTTTCACCTCAGACTCGATTTGAAACAGATTATACCTACAACCTGCTGTTAAATTCGTCTCTAATTTTACCGCAATATCCAAAATAGTCAACCAATTTGTGAAGAAAGCCAATGCGTCTACTTACCCATAAAGCACAAGAACATTCATAGCAACGTTGTCTCCCCCCCAAAAAAGAAACAACTCAAACTGGAACCCAAAGCAGGATGTGGGTGGGCTCGAGATCCTGTCGCGTAACCCCTTTTCACCGACTGAAGCGATCGTTTCACTGCAGGCACCTTTCTAGGCACCCTAGTTGCAGTCAGAGCCTTTTAAGCATCCTGCACAAGGTCGAAGCATAAGCATGAAGTCAGCGGGGGTCTTTGTTCTTTTCCCCCAGATGGTGCAGCGTTCTCAGTGGTGACTCACGGGATCCAGGTTCCTCTAGACTCTCCTCTGCAGTGGATGAGCGAACATTTGAGCTACCCCGACAACTTCCTGCACCTGTGTGTTCTGCCGACCACATAGTGCACCTACCAAACCTTTTTAATTGTTTTTTTAGGTTTTTAAAAGTGTACGTTAGTAGTGCCGGGTCTGCCCAATTATCCGTGCGGGGGACTTTTTCGTGATGCATTAACAAACCGCGCCTCGTGAATTGCCCAAGCTTCGTTGGGAAGTGGCCCCGGCGGTGAAGACGGGATGCGAAAGATTAGAACGAAGGGCCACCGTCCTTTGTCGGTGGCTGTTGTAAGTTAGCCTCTCGACACCGCAGTTCATAGACAATGCTGGCCGTCATTATCACGCCGAGCAGGCTTCACGCGAAACGGACGGCTATCGGAATTTTTTGAGTCGTCGAACCGAGCAGCCGGCTTACGTCTGCTAACTATGGAGGACGCTGCCTGTGACTTCTATTATTGAGAAATTGCTTCTAACTTTTAATTCGGGCAAGGTATTGAGCCGAAACATTCCCCGTCCCTTCACCCTCGGGGCTAGCGCTTTCCGATGAAGTATCGGTGTTCTGTGATGTGTCGCCGAAAATCCCCTGGACATTTTTTCGAGCATATCCCGGTACTTGTCACTCAAGCTTTGTCATTGCAGACTCGCCCATCTCAATAATATGAAGATCCTGTTGCAATTCGGCTCAAAGCATGCTACTTACGTGTGCGTAGATGTGCTGCTAAGAGTGTCTCCTGTGATGTTTTGTGCCCGGTATGACCAGTTTTTATTAGTGAGTACGTAATTTCGGAAAATTGCAGCTATTGCTTTTAGATGTGGCTCCTTTTCACTCTTCTCAGGTAATGGCAGTGTATAGTTTTATCAATGACAACTAAGATGATCAGATTTCGGGTCTCTGTAAATGTTTTCTTTTCTTTTGGCAACCCCCAGGACTGTAGGTTCCAATTTATTTAATTTATTGCGAGCAAATTTTATTTTCTGCTAGTAAAAATGATTACCGCTTTAAGCTACAAGAGTTGTTTGTTTGTTGCGTGTCAAAACAGCCGTAGAAATGCTGTAAACATTGCTCTTGTCGTAAGTAATAAAAAAGTGGCTAAAGCTTGTGCCGATGTTGTTACAATTTAAAAAGAAAAAGAGATCTAACAGCTCTCGGTGCAAGCACGAAGACTCTCGGAACGGTTTGGCTCGCAGCTTACGAAGGGACCTGCCACGCTTTCATGCTGCGGACTGCCGCACAACTGCGGGTCACGTCGAGCTGTGTGTCTCTCGTTTACTCCGAAACTATAGAAGGGAGCTGGTCTTACGGGGCCACTTGATGCCGAGATAGAGCCACGATGAAGTCCAGTTAAAGGTGGTCACATCTGCTCTGGGACACCAATGTATTGCTTCGCTCGAGTCATTGTGGTCTATAAGGCTGCGTACCAGTGGTCGATACTATGGTTGCAAAGCAGTCTGCAGCTTTTTATGACGATAATCAAGAGAAGGGCCATAAAAACCCTGACCTCGCAAAGATTGTCTCCCAAGCTGCCGTGTATAATATGCCGTGGATTTAAAAATTTATGAAACTGCACAACGCAAGTTCCTCCAGGAAGTGCGCAAACTCGTTGGTAACTGAGAGAAATTGACCATAACCGACGTAACTACAGAAAAATCCACCGTCACCGAAGACCGAAGGCCAGCTCGCACACTTTCGTTTGCTTTCGACAGACTTCTGGCGATCTCTTAGGATGGGAGAGCACACTGGTGCCATCTATGAGGTGGCCCTGGAACTGTGCTTCACTAGAGTGAAGGTTTTGCAGTATCTGCAAGATCAGATGTGTGTCCTATCAATAAGAAAAGTTTGTTTATAACATTGTCAAAAGTTTTTAAAGCCAATAAACAAAAGATGCACGAAAAAAAATGAAGTAAATTGTAAGTGTTTTATGGCTGCCCGACAGACTATGGAAGTACATTCTGTCGTCGTAAGAGTTTGCAGGAGGTTGCAAGGTGCCCGGTCGCGAGTGTGTCGAATGGCATTAAGTTGCAGTCTCGCGTTGCTTGTTTCTGTGTTTACTCGTCCGTTTAAGTTAAATGAAGCTCAGAAACTCAGACGCCGTATCGTTCCTCCATGTTGGGCCTGCGGCGAGGAAACGCTACCGAGTTGCTACACTAAAAATTCCCCTTGCGCCGGTTACAAACAGTAACAACCTTCGCGGTGCAGACTAGCGCAATGGTGCGGGTTGTAGAAAGAAATGCCAGCACGCCGTTCCAACAAAATGTATTTTATCGCGCTCGTTGGTCGTCGTTACTCGTAAGAGACGCACTCTCAGAGGACATTAACCGCGACACATATTGGACCAAAGTTCCAACTACTCTATAGTCATCGACAATGCGAGAACGACGGGGAAGATCTTCGGTCGTCTTGCCTCCGGCCCGAGCTTCCCACCTTCGACGATGCTTCGTCATCTCGAGCCCTTTGAATGCGTGCGCTCGGCAAAAGCACGGCAGAAGGCGCGGACCGCGTGCCGAAGGACGGGCATTCGAAAGACGTGCCCCGCCGTTTTTGTTTTGTCGGCGACCGTACACTCTCTCGGCAAATCGGTCGAGGGAAGCACGCAGTGCACGTCGGGTCGCTCGCTTAAAAATAATTTATTGCGCCCCGCGGCTTCGTGGCAGCCGTCGACGAGTGGCGAGCCGACCGAATCCGAGATGGTCAAGGCCTGTTCGCGCACTCGCGTTTGCTTACGACCGAGTTCTCGCGATCCCTTACGACGGAGAACACACTGGCATCCTGGTGCCCTCTACGGGAGGTTTTAAAGCGCGCGGTCGTAAGCGGCCGTGAGCGGTCGCAAGTGTGCGAACTGGCCGCTCGTTGGTTGCTCCACGAGCCGCTTGGTCTTGCGCGGGGTTGGCCAAGGCACGGTACGGAGGCGGCTCACTCGCGGAGCGCCTGCACGATGTTGCGCAGTGCGGCAGTGGCCTCCGAAGGCGGGATCTGGTCGAGGACGGCCAGGGCTCTCGAAGTGTACGACTCCAGCAGGGCCTTGGCCTTCTCGATGCCCTCTCCGTTCACAATGATGCTGTGCAGCTGCAGGCGTGCACGAAGGAGAGAGAAAGTTCATTTCGTTCGTAGTTTAAGAAACGAGCCATACTTTAGATGGCAGCTTTAGAGAACAAGCAGACGTAACGCGGACGCCGTCGTTTGTGTGGCTGCGAAAGGTGGATCGGCATGCCCCTTTTAAGTCGTAAAATAGGGTGTGCACGGAATGACAAAGAACAGTGAAAAATATAATGTGACCTTGTTGCTGTGCACTGCTTTTTTTTACTATGTCTTCTATTTACCCACCTGTCCAGCTTAACACTTAGCTACGATTGAGCCATCCAAAAAATTTTGCGCCAATGTCTTTAAAATATTTTAGAGAAGCATCCTGCCATATCGGAGGCTGCCATGAACTCGAAAACATGCTTGCTTTGTTTGTAAACTTGTAGCGTGCTTCTCTTCCCTGTGGTGGTGGAAAAGGAGTTGCAGAGGCGTGTCAAGGCCGACAACTACTGGCGCTGCACGTAGAGTCTCTGCGTGCCTCGTAATCGCTGCGGCGAAGCCTAGCTTGCTCGTAAATAAAAGAATGTGATCCAATCCCCAGTCTGTGTATGTCCTTAGGCCGGCTGCTTTTAACTGACTGATTTTTTGTTGAGAATAACAAAAGCTTAAATGCGTGAGACTTGAGGCAGACCATCCACACGAATATACCATATATGTTGAACTGCAACTCTCTGAATTTGAGCAACGAGTAACGTCCAGTGACCTGACACGCTTAGTGTTAATGAAAAAAGTTACTGGATGACCACATCAACTTAGACAGTGCTGGTGAAAGGCCGCATGAAAACCTGGTGGCTTGAAGCAGAAACCACTTGGAGAGATGCAGGTAAAAAAATGGCAATATTTTGCAAGAAAAAAAAAAGTGATCTTGCATTTTATGGTGTTTAATTATTTTTGAATCTTTGTATTTGATGTATAAAAATAATTAGTGCCGATTATAATCGCGAAATTAGTCAAATATGCACTTGAAGACCTCCAGGCAACCCAAAACAACATGAACTTCAGCCATTTTTCTCTGCGTGCTCCATAATTTACAGTGAAGTTTGCCTCGCTGTCTCGCGGGAGGCACCTTTCTTCCTATTTATATTTCCTTTTCAAAAGTTACTCTTGTACATTGTACCTTGGCACTCTGCAAGTGGCTCGCATACTGGTGCAGGGCAACATTACCATACCAGCACTACACGTGTACGAGCATGAAATAGCACATGCATAACATCGTTGCTCGCATACTAGCGTGGAGTAGCACGCACCCCCACGGACATACGAGCCGAAACACCCGATTCGGTCTTTTTCTACGTCTGCAGTTCGCAAAAGCTGAATTGTCTTTCAATATAGTGCAAAGTATGGAACACATACTTCGCACTGCATTCCTAGTTCGGACCAAAGTTCTCTCAAAAACTAGCAGGCACGCCAAAGGAACACAAAGGACTGTTTCAGCTCATGTTGTCTGCAATAGTGCATTGCGCAACTCTTGGCGCAAAAAGCAATTGTCCGTTTTTTTCTGCTTTTCTTTTAGAACCATAAGGCTGTCATCAAAAAGTACTAGTGTGGTGGAAAGTGCTTGTTCGGGGCACTAACCTATGCGATAAATTTTTATGCTTGTCAATGACATGTCTTAATAAAACGCTAAAACGCACCAATGTTGCGTTCGCACCAACAGAGTTGTGCAGTGTAGCACTACTCCCAGCGGGAACCAGCATGTGCAGTCGCCTAGCGTGTTACCTTGAGGTAGTCCAATTTCTCAACGTTGCTCGTGTGCCTCCGGATTTCTTCCACCAAGCTGGCGTCGTCCTCCAAGTGCAGCACCACGGGTGCCGACGTGAGCACAAAAGGAATGCCGGGCGGGTGTCTGTATGTGTCCACAAACGGCTGCAGGTCCGAGTGGACCTGTTGAGACGGGAGGACCGGAGGTGGGTTGGGCTGCTGTGCACAAGCTCGTACGAATCGCCACAAAAAAAGGAAATGTGTGGCACACGTTTTCTTTCGCGGAGCTGGAGGCACCGTTTGATTGTATTCCCAGTTTTGTAATAAGTGCATCGTGCAGAAAGCAGTTTGCAATGAGCCCATAGTACAAACCACGAGGCTGGTCCTCCGAAGTAGCAGACTTACCACAAAGGGCGAATATTCGGTTATTAAGAATAGCCAATCGAATTCTTTGTCTATTTGGCATTCGCTTCGAATCCAATTAATTATTCGACAATATTGAACTATTCGACAATATAGATATATTTGACCTTTCTGAATACGTCAAACCCGACTATATCGAACCCGTTTACATCGACTTATTCCTTATATCGAACAATTTTTGTGCACAGTAATGTTACAGTGATAATATATAGCAAAAACTATGGTTACGTCGAACAAAAATAGCAGCTGCTACCGATATATCAAATTGCCAAGAGCACCGTTTTGCTCTGCAAGCTGGCTTTCCCCCAACGCCAGCGGCCGCATTAGGGGAAAGCCAGCTTGCAAAACCCGCTAGCTTTTTTTTTTTTTCGGGCAGTTGTTTGGAGGAAAAGAAAAAAAGTGAAAGCCGTTTACAACTCCCTGTAACGCCGAATTGGAGCGCAGCTCTTGAGGAGGAGGAGGGAAGGGTACTGAGGGGAGGGTATACCCCTCCTCCTCCTCCTCCCCTCATTCTTGAATATGCTCCGGGGGGTCACCTGACCTCGGGGGGGTGACCTTGGGGTGACCTTGGTCACGCCGACGCCGCTCAAGCCGGAAACGGGCGCTTAAGAGCTGCGCTCTTAAAAATGTCCTTTGTGGAGGGAGCGGAGAGAGGGTGTTCCGTGCTCCCTCTCTCCGCTCCGTCTGCAAAAGAGAATATTATTTTTTATTCCAAAAAATTGACGCAACCGCCCGGAAAAAAAAAAAAAAAGAGCAAAACGGCGCTCTGAAGGAGGAGGTGCTCCCGCTCGGACGTACTCCAAGCTCTCGGCAGAGTTCGTCGCTAATGCGCGAATATAGAAGGCAGCGGCCTCAGCATTTTGGAGTCCGTCAATAGCGTAGAAAAATATTATCGCGGATGCAATGAAGAAAAAGCAGCAGAAGATGCAAGATTACTTCACTGTGTAATATTTCAGCAGAAAGTGGATTTTTGAGAGTCAAATTCATTATAACTTTCATATTGAATTACCCACTATATTGAACTGGTAGTTGTTTTTTTTGCGAGTTCGATATAAACGGGTTTGACTTACTCTGGCTTGGATTTCCGGCCAGGTGGCGCAAGCTTCCGACCATTTTGTGCTCCCAAATTCAATACACTTGAAATTAACAACTACAGTACTTCTAATACCAAATAAGGGCAAATATAAAACTATAGTTTAAACATATCTTGTGGTATTTGTTGCTTGTACTATTCGAACTATTCGATTCAAAATTACTCGGCCAAAATCACTATTCGCTTCAAATTCGATTCGGACCCAAAATCCTCTATTCACCCATGCCTAGTCGCGTCCCCTGGTACGCTTTGGTGACAATAGGAAAACGCTTTTAGTGAAAGCTCACGCGATGATTTGCATTTTTAATAAGCTCGAAACGAAAAGTACAATTCTGAATACAAATACCTCGCCACCCTCCAGCGCATAAAACTTCCATCTGGCTACTCGCTCGGATAGGCCGACAACTCGATGACACACTAAACAGCGGTGCAAATACTACTTGAAGCATGTACAGAGACCTAAAAAGTAGAATCCATTGGTTTCTGGGAGGTGTTCATGTGGTGAGAGAGTAAACAATCGATCATGAGGAACAATTGAGCACCAGGTTTTTTTAAACTGCTTTCACTGATGCACCTTGGTACAAAGTGAATTGTGGCAAGATTACTGCGACTAGTTTCCCTGTGTCGTTGGTGACTACATTTGTGGAACCACAGGAAAATAGAGGACACCACTTTGTTTTCGTTTTTTTAAGCGTTTCGTCTTTTGCTCGGCGGTCTGGTATTCAGATTTTCGAGGGAAAAAAACGCGTGCTATACTTAGTCCCCAGAAATACTCGTGGCCGAGAGGCAGAGGGCAGCTTAAATGTGAGAAAAGTTATCCATTCCCACGGAATTTTCGTTCAGATTCAGCTTCATAAATCAAGGTTACAGAGTGCTCCACAGTTAGCATGAAAAGGTGATTGCCAGTTTTTCCTGTCTTAGAACTGAAAGGAATTGTCCTCAGAACTACTAGCAGCGAGGTATAAAGTGCTCATTTGGGGCACCGACCTATGCGGAATGTCGCAATTGATCTCCGCTGACAGGTATGCAAAAAGAGAATGCGACGTCCCACGCAGAATGTTGCCTGGAACGCGTCTCCAACTGGTGTGTTCAGCGTCCTATTCTGTCCATGCATCAAGAGTTGTCCCAAAGTGGCAACAAATGACGTCACAAAAGCCACCAGTCAGGCTGTCGGATGTCGCAGTCCCGGCGGTTAGCCGTACAAGTTCCGAAGAAAAGCACGAGTGAATGCGAGTGTCGCCGTCGTGGCGGCGTCCCAGCTCCCACTGCCGAAGCTTCTGCAGACCGTCAAGCTGAAGAGCGACCCGAGGCAGAACGGGCGTCTGCCACGTCTACCACCGCTGCTGAGACACTGCCAGGATAGCAGCCGGCGACGATGTGACACTTTTACGACGTCAAACGAAAATAGAGGGACCCCTTTTTTTGACACGGTAAGCACACCGGTTGGAGACGCGGGCATCGTAGCGGCGTTGCCCCCTCCCCTAGAGCCTCTCCCTAGAGCATGGCCCACCTGCCAGGCCAGGCCGATGCTCTTGCCGAACTCGAAGCCGAGCTCCTGCAGCTGGTCGTCGTGGCTGGCCAGCTCGAGCGTGGCCTGGCAGCTGTTGGACATGAGGGACCCCGTGGAGAGGTAGTGCTTCTCTTCCCAGTGGCCGATGGTCATGCCTGCCACTGGGATCGGGTTGCCCTGCTGGTCGTGGTCCCCCAGGAACTCGGACTGCATGAAGTCTCCGATGGCTGTGGCCACCAGGTCCACCACCTGGCCAAGACAGAAGGAACCGCCGTGTCGGACGGCCGCGCCGCTTGTTTCGGTTCCAGCGTGAAATCCAGGATTCCCGCGATGCCAGCGACAATTTGCCAGTTTGTGCACGAGCAATTTAGAATCTGTCCGAGATATCTCCGCTAAGGCAGTCTATCACATTGTCTTTGTACTCCATAGGCTGGAAAAAAGAGTTAGAGAAGCAACATTCCCCGTTTTTAAATGCAGCTTGTTTTCTCTATTTATAATGAGAAGTTGCGAGAATGTCTACATTATTTTTTCCTTTTGTGTTACACGCGAAGAACATACGCAACTCGTTTTTGACAGGAGTGGCCACGGGGCTAATTGAATTACGCTACATTGCTCTAGCCTTGTGAATCTGGTCTTGTCAAATTTGGGGGTTTTTTGTGCCACACCGACGAAGGGCATCTGGCACACCCCAGCGGTGGATTACGGGTTCATTGCCACCACCAGAAGATTTTTTGATGTGCCACTGAAATCAGGGTTGCAATCAGCCCCCGTCAGATTGCACGCACCTCAGCCGGGATTCAAGCTCGCATCAGGAATCTTTTCCAGACAATTAATACTCAACTTTGGTTAAATCTTGCAATTGCTAATATGTATTGAAGTCATACTAACCACGAAACACTTACATAATCCAACGCATACTTTCCAGGCATGCCACCAAACAGTAATGCAAAGTGAAAGCATGCAGGCGCTACTTCGTCGCATGTGTTCAACAGTTCAATTAATTGTTTCCAACTGCACGACCATTAGCTTACGAGACGTTAACCTTTGCACAGATTAAAGACGTCCTTGACTTCAAACTTCTAGAAAAGGGGAAGGAGGGTGCTGAGTGCCACGACAGAGCCATCGATATATTACCTTGCAGTTCTTGAGGTCAGTGAGAGATTTGCTGGCGTTTGCAATCAGGTAATCCCCGGTGAGGACGGAGATCTTGTTGCCAAACTGGAGGTCCCTCAGGGTGGTGGCATCTGGGAACTGGTCGTTGGACAGGTTGAGGACGCCCCGGTGGATCAGGTGGGCCGTGTGGATCATCTCGGTGATTTCTGCGAGGGACCGCTGCCGCTGGGTGATGCCCGCCACCCGCTCCTCTTCGAGGCAGTCTTGTCGGCAGGTCGGGTGCCCCGCTGCTTTGGACAGCAGCAGCACGATCAGGCCCCTTGTCTGGATGTTGGTGCGGCCATTGTAGATCAGCCGCCTGAGAGGACGAGCAGCGATACAAGCAACGGAATCGTGCATGAGAATATAAATTTTGTGTTTTTCTGTGTACCACATCCTGCTCAAGTTTTTCTTTTCTCTTTTCGGCTGAGGGAGGGTATTTGGAAAACACTGCTGGCTTTTACTTTCCGAAAGAAGTATAACACTCGGTCTGCAAAGGAAACCAGGTGACTTGCAAGCATCCTGGGTCAGTTAACTTTTCGGGCCCATGAAAGTTAAACTGGATTATCGTTTCTTGTATACTTATAACATTCATCAGGTCTTTATTCAGTATATAAGTTGTGGGTTGAACAGTTGCAGAAGGCAACAATGGCAACAGCTCTCTTTTAGAAATAGTCAGTGTTGGAAAGTGCTTTGAAGTACTACTTCACATACGTCCAGAAGTACATTCTCTAAACGTGCACTTGTACTTATGAAGCATTTTTTTCTGGTATACTTTCCGAGAAAAGTGAAACTCCAGGCTTCAAAATATGTTTCCCAAATTGGAAAACAAAAAAAAACAAAAAAATGGCATATCGTCATGAGAAAACGCACTATTGTCTTTCGAGACGTCATCTGGTCACAACTTGGAGTGAAGTAATGGTGGCTATAAGGCCGATACAAATAAGTGCCTTATAAGCATATAAAAATTAAAAAAGCTGATTGTGTTAAATCGTCTATCAGCGAGAGTACAACTACTCTGTGACAACTTTATTCAATATTTGCCGCTATTTCCGAAAATAACTGATGCACCACATTACAGTTAAAACAATGCATACTAATAAAAAGAAAACATTGTATAAGGGTATGAAATGGTGTCGTTAAAGATTCTGTTAAAAAGTACTTGCACCGAGCAATAAAATATTTTCATATTGATGTGGATCATCTTACATGTACACCGAGTGAGCAGGGTTGAAAGTCTATGTTTCGGAGCTTCAAATTTGGCTTGCATGCATTTAGTTTTCTTTATTTTGCCTCTTTGTCATCGTAACCATCTATTATCCCCCCCCCTCCCCCTTCCTACCCGGTGGATAGGGCTTCCCATCACTTCTGATGATCCAGAAGGGGTTCTCGAAACATCAGTGGTTGAGAACTACTGGTATGTACTTTACTTCAAGTACATGGTGCCCGGTGTACTTAGTACTTTACTTGAAGTACATAACCTCTCATTTACTTTGTACTTTATGTACTTTTTTAGATTTACTTTGCCCAACAGTGAAACTGGCTTATAAATTTGACTCCTGAATGCTGACACCAACATGGCCGGTTATGATTAACTCCTACTGTCGCTCTCTATGTGGAACTCTAAGAGTTACGAACATGCTTGGTCTTAATATTTTATTAACTTTCTGCCGCTGATACACCCAAACTCCACTGGACCCTGCTTGTCCGAGGTTGTAATATATACCGGGTGTTTTCGCAGTCTCAAAAATCCTAAAAATTAATTAAGGCTTATGAAAAAAAAAAAAACTGTTTCGGGAACAAGCTACCAGCCACGGCGGACGTCAAGAATTGCCAAAAACATATTAATTAGCCAGCTAATTAATTAAAATTTGTCAATTAACTTTTTAATTAGTGGAAATAAACATATGGTTCCAATTAGGAAGTTGCTGAGCGTTATCGAAAACCCCTAAATCAGTCATTTTCAGAAAGACTGAGCGCGTGAGAAGAGTGGTAGCGCACTAAAGTTACCACTCGTGGAGCAGGTACAAGGCTGGGGCTAGATAAGAGGCGGAAAAATCGCGGGGCGCCTTACCGCAATCGCTATAGCCTTGTACCTGCTCCACGAGTGGTAACTTAAGTGCGCGACTACTCTTCTCACGCGCTCAGTCTTTCTGAAAATGACTGATATAGAGGTTTTCGATAACGCTCAGCAACTTCCTAATTGGAACCAAATGTCCATTTCCACTAATTAAAAAGTTAATTAACAACTTTTAATTAATTAGCTGTCTAATTAGTTGGTTTCTGGCAATTACTGACGTCTGCCGTGGCTGGTAGATTGTTCCTGAAGACAGTTTATTTATTTTTTCAAACGCCCTAATTTTTAGAATTTTTGAAAGTATTCGCAAAAACACCCGGTATAGCATTGCAACAGCTTCTATATTGTTCGCTGGGTGGATTACTTCATACTTTTTGAGACTAGGCAAAAATAAGATAAATGACATACGCACAAACACTAAAAGTCTAAAATGTGTAGACTATAATTTATTTAAAGACGGTGTTTATGCCCATTATTTTATTATTGTCTAGTCTCAAGTTGGAGACATTGCCAGCTTGCCTGCGTCGCGCACACGCGTTTCAGTGGAAAACAGCACCGCGTAAAACAACCGTTGTGACGCGCAAGGAAAAAAAAGAAAAAGAAAAAAAGAACCGTCTTCGGAGCGCACGACTCGATGCATCGCTTGCTTCCCGAAAAACAAGCTTATGCGCGCGATCCCCTCGCCCAACGACCTCCTCCTTTCCTAGCGGTCCCCAGCAGCTCAAAGGCACTGGGTCATACGGTCAAACCAGTTCATTCGCACCAGTTTGTGTGTTGTTTTTCATTCTTTGCCTAGTCGCGTTTGTTTATTTCTGCTAGCGCGACGACCTCATAGCTGTTCACGTTTGCAAACCAACTCTCATCACAAGCACCGTGAAACGCTCCATTCGCCGCTATACTTTTTGACGATTTTGCGGTAGACACTAATCGACTTTAGATGCGGCATCTCTGTAGATGAGCCCAGATTATCCTCTTAGAAACTATCCACGAAGCTTTCCCGCTAAAGTTTAATTGCAAATTCTTTTCACGAAAGCCGCGTGTGTGCACACTTGGTGCATACTCACTTGGCCGTCTTTAAGACGGGGTGATTCGTGCCGATCAGTTTACGGACGTGGAAGGCGATGTTGGACGTCTCGTCATTGAGGAGGCATCTGAGGCTGAAGTAGGACGTTGGGTAACCGACAATCTTCTCCGCATTCGACACGGCGCGGTTCCAGTCGGTCGTTTTCGTCGATGCCCAAACGCTGGCCGACGCGTAGCAGCGTCGGCTGTAGTGCCACTGAACGAAGCTCGACGCGCCTCTCGGAGCGTGCCAAGCACGTACGATCATTTTCTTCATTCCCGCACGACTCATATGACACTTCTGGAACGATGGATCACTTTTTTCGGGGAGAGGACGGGAGAAAACCAACTTCTGCACTCGGTATCAACGTGACCCATACTTGTCAGCTCGGTAAAACCGAAAATGATCGGTTGGTGTAGGCTTGAGCTCTTATCCCAAAATGTTTACGTGTGCTCAGGTGGCGCTACAAGACGAATTAAAAAGAAATACGTGCCTTAGGTTTTGGTTGCTACGGCAAGATGGCGCCACACGTAGCAGCCGAAGGTGAGTGTTTGATTTTTTTTATCAAGTTTGTATAAAATGTAGCACGTCTCAGATTTTTATTACATGACATTCAAGAACGTTAGATTTGCTTTGAGCAAGCCGGCTCAGGCGTTAAGCCCGATTCACACAACCAGCGTTTAGCCACCCCGTCGATTGGAAACGACTCGACTGCTCGCCGGTTCTTTTGCGCGAGCTTTCGCTCGGGCGCTGTGAACCCTATGAACTGTGGTGCTCAAAGCTAGCACAATTAGGCACGGCTAGCGTCCCGGTGGAAGCTGCAGATAGCGGAAACCGAAGACACCGTCGCATAAGAGTGGCGAAGCCGCGATCCTGCGCTGATCGTTGTCCCGCCGCTCTCTCCGGCAATATCGACACTTCGCTGCTGGGTGTCTCGTATTTCGACGTTTTAGAGAAACTTGGCATTGGCAAGCGCGAGGAGTCTCTATATCGTTTTCTCCGTCGCCTGCGTGGAGGAAACACTGTGGCGATAGAAACATATGCTCATGCAGTCAGTCAACTTGGACAATCCCCTGTTCCCTCAATCCTATCGCATTCTTTGACTGCGTTTGTGACAACAACGTTTCCCCAGTGTGAAAGCTTTCAGTCACAACGGGCTACAAACTGGGTTGTGCATTGCATGTAGCCCTGAGGGAATTCTTCGCCGGAGACACCAGCACATTAGTTTCATTGGTAAGGTGACCGGCCACTAACGTGTTTGGCAAATGAAGCGATCACGGGTAAGTAGAAATGCAAACAATGTTGAATGAATATTAAGGTGGTTGTAGCCAGAGCCTGCCAGTTGAAATCAACCTTTAACAATATAGTCTGCGGTAACTTCTTTTTGCACTTAGGATTGCAATTTTAAACACAAAGCCACTCCACATAGCTGTCGAAAATCGTGTAAACAACAGTAGTCATCGTCCCCGGTTCGGATGAGCGAAGCCTTAGCTTGATGAAAAGAATGGCGGTCTATACTTCTTGGTTGTTTCAATCACAACCTCGCACAGCTGAACAGACAAAGAAATCAAGGAAATATATCCCGCGCTGGCTTGCAAATCACAGCACACAAGCAGGGTACACAGCAAAGCAGAAAACACTGGCAATGAGCACACGGAGGCATGCAGCTTCCTTTCTTTTTCCCTCGGCGAATGATTGGTTTGCTGCAGCATTCCGTAAGCACGTCGACATTCAAAAGTTGAGCCTGATCTGTCTTGCAGTGCCTTGCGGAACGGCAAGTATCGCCCACCATTCCACAAGGCACTGCAGGACTCGCAAATGTGTGAACAGTGCTTTGCAATAAAGGCCATGATCGGGCAGCAGGTGCCCATCTAAAGACATTTAATATTGATTGGCATTGAACTAACCTTTGGGCTTCATCACGTAGCAAGCATGGGTGAGGTATAATTCAAGAACATTTAATGTTCGACGAGTTTAATACGTTGTGGTGCTTTCCCATCTGTTTCGGTGTCACGGAGTGGGGTTCAAATTAATAAAAATAATTCAATGATCCACTCTGAGAATAAACGAGAAATTACGGGAAAAGAACAAGAGAGCTAAGTTCGACCATTGACTAGCGCTAGGTCCACGCCTGGTGTATAATCAGTAGAGAAAGATGATGACACAGGGAGGATAAGCAAACAAAAGATTAGATTTAATAAAGTGAAAAACTAAGCTGTACACGGCAATAGAGCACTCAACACAAACCACACTCCAGCTCAAAGCTATGGAGCCCTGCGAGCCAGAAACTAATACTAAAAAGACTCGACGCTCATAAAACCGGAATAAGCCAACAAAACAGTGACGAAAACCCGACGCTAACAACGAGAGCAAACCGAGATGGAGCTCGAACGTTACCGCTACACACATGGGATAATCCCCCAAAACAGTCGCGACAGAAAGTAGCACTGTGTAAAAATCTTCCCAACATTCAACAATTCATACTTCAGAGCCAGAGAATGCAGTAGACAAGTCCTAGAAAACCAGGCTTAGCTTTCCGGTAGGTGCCGAGTCCAGAGCAGTCCGTAGTCTGGAGTTGTCGGCCGAAGAACGGCGTCTCGAAGTCCAGCGGTCCAATTAGAGGCTTGATGAGGTCGACACCGCGCACCACACAGCCACACACGCTTCAGCACAACAAACTCAAACACTTGTCCGACAGGCAGGGCAGAAGCCAAAAATTACACGTTCCAAGACTCATCTGCAGGGAGTAACCGCGTTGAGTAGCGACCCGGCCAGCTCTGGGGTTGGACTACCTTCTTTGTTCCCGAACCCCCTTTTATAGGCTCGTCTACCGACCAACCTCCCGTTTCCCCGCCTTTCGGGTCAGTCAACTTTCAAGAAAAACAAAGCTACACAGCAACGACCCAAATGGCAAAACCTATTACATTTTTCAGACAACCAAACATATGTGCCCATCCATTCCCCCGTACGAGTCCAAAAACATCAATTATCGCCGATACATAGAACACGACAGGCGGCAGACTGAGCAAAGCCGCCACCTTCAAAAAGCGCACTAGCCAGCGTAAACATCTTTGTATCCCGGCGGCGCCCCTGCATGTCAAATCGGCACCATACGCGAGCCAGCATACGCACCCCTCCGTCCGCGAGGTCAAAGCCACAAACTGTGACCTGGGATGATCTACGTCGCCCGTTAACAAAAACCCATTCCGCAAACGAGCAGATTCGTTGGGGACTTAGAAAGGAACTACGACGGGACGAACTGAGATTAAAAGTGGCACCACACTCCCCCTTTTTGACCGTACCAACACTTAAAGTGGTCCAAAAAAAAGATCATAAAAGTATTTAAAAAAATGAAGAGAAGCCTGAATTTGTGACACCCGGTTTCTCCATCCTGTGTTTTTTTTGTGCTTTTTCTATTACGAAGCGAGACATTATTCCAGCCGTAGGCACCAGATGTAATTCCCGTCTGCGATCATAAGATTATAGGATCCTATCTGCCGGCAGCTAAGTGTCAATTACATCCGGCTTGTGCATACAGTGCAACATCTTTTGCTATTCAGCCGATCATCACTTTACAGCCTGGGTATCTGTTCTTGTAAACGACAGTAGTGCTACATGTTAAACGGCTCTAAAGCGATAGAGCAAACTCACATCTCATTATCTTTTAGCTGAATAAACTGTTTGTTTGGTTATGCTTGTTATCCAATTTTTGTTTTAAATTTAATTTTCTCATATAAACACCTTACATTATAGAAAAAAAATCTTTTTATAGTACGGAGGTGTCCATATTAAGAAGACATGACTGTATCATCTTTGAAACTAGTTTGCCACAGCCAGTGTTATAATATGTATTGATTTTTTATGCAGTGCCTGCCTTTCCTTGCCCCTTGTGAGGACGACTGAGAAAGCGACTTTGCGCCACAACGACGGATGGCAAGTGTCCCAAGTGTCGTCACCTATAGTGGTCATGTGCTATGTGTTCGCAGCATTGTAAGCCGACCGTGGAGCACTTTCAAAAGGGAACTTTCGCCATGTGCAGAGTATGGCCGTGTACAATACGAGGCACGTACAGTCAGAAGAATTATGAGAGGGAACATGCGGGCGCGTGTCACTTGGTACAGGCAGAGCAGCCTAGCAAGTGTCATGCTTGTGCACTGAGGGGCCCTGGTTTGAAGAGCCGAGGCAGAAGTTTCAGCGGCGGTGTCACCGCCCTGGCGGCTTGTCGCCGAAGCAGAAACGGGGTTAGCTAGCTTTGCTCGTGGCTGGCTTTGTGTAGTGTGTGTAGACCGGGAACGTAGGCTTATGAACTTCGGCAACAAGAATACTACACGGCTTTGGTGTTTTGGTACGAGCAACAAACGTGACACTATCTGCTACGACTAGCTACGACCACCTACCGCAGCGGTGAAGGCATCCAAGAAGCAGAACCTGTGTATTACGCCGTTGCCGTAACCCAACAGTGCTCATTTGTCATGGAGGGCTTTCCGCCCAGAGACTTTGCTCGTCACTGAGTGTTATTTCCCGTGTTTCTCTTTGTGTGCGCAGTGGCTGGACGGGCCTCATACAGCAGTTCTTCAGTCTCAAAGGTGACTAAAAGTTGAGGGTGGATGGACTTGCAGCAATCCCCTCGGTTGGTGCGTGTGACAGAACCTTTGTACGGCATCATCGGGAGGATGCTGTTGTGAGTTAGCAAGTTGTCCAATTGTATGTTCATTATGCTAATATTTGAAAAAGCTTGTTTAAAAGGATGCTGGACCAAAATTTGGATTTCATAATATAAGGCCGCGGAAGCTTTGAATGGGAGCTCTACAAACTCCGAAACATCACTCATACATTAATATCTCAAACGGATGGCCGTATTCTTGGAAAGGAAAGGGCACAATCAAACAAAAAATGTGACATCATACTTCTCCTGGTACACTTTAAAATGAGGGGAAGCGGCCTCGCTTCTCTCATTCCCGCTTCGGTTCACCTGCTTAAGGGGATGAAGCCTAGAGGAGAGGGAATGAGAATCGCGACATCACATGTCTCGTCAGCCTTGTTGAATCCCACATGTTTCCAAAAATACGGCCATCCGTTAGAAATAATGCTCTATGTGTGATGTTTTGGGGGTTTTGCAGCGTCCCGCCTACCGCCCCAGTGTTGTTTTGCAAGCTTCGAATTTCGGTTAAGCATACCTTTTAATATGAATAATTGTGTCATCAGAATGTTAGAACATGTCAGTTCTACACAGCTACTCTCAAACATTTTCGAGTGGTCTCGCCTGCCAGATTCAAAGGGGGGGGGGGGCAACATGTACATGTTTTTATATCTACAGCACAAATAGTTCCTATCATGCACTCTAAATAGCTGTCAATCGACAGACTGGGTAAAAGAGTGAGCACAAACAAGTCCAACTACCAGCAATGCTGTCCATGGCGAATCTTGG